GAGCTTTCTCCCGCTATTCCAATGAATTTAGTCTGTATTTAAAACGTAAAGTTTTAAGTACCAATATCAATATGAAGTTATCTAAAACATTACATGTTTAACTTATGGAACTCTATTCTATTAACCTCTATTAATCAGAATTCTTATAAATAAATATAGATATTTATGATTGAAGTTAAATACGATTCAATTTGATACTTATCTCTGGTAAAAATATTTTTCGAGTATAAAAATGCATTACTACATCTCTGTTTTCTTACTATAATTTATTACACATTTAATATGCTAATTCTAATTCTATCGAAATAAATAATTATCAGTGTTTATAATTTAATATCAGTGCTGATATATTAGGGTGATCCTTTCGAAAATTAAAAATTTAAGCACCTTTTTTGAAAATAACATTGAGTAATGTATGCTACACATCACAATTTTTGTGAAACAGAAATGATTATGTTATGATTTGAATTTTTAAATGAGGTTTTATATTCTTAATTTTATTTATTATTTCATAAGTGTCTCTGTTGTTTCTGTCAACAGTTACTGTAAGATGATAATGTTTATTTTAAAGCGTGAAATTGTCTTAAAATAATCGCAAGAGCTGTCCATAAACTAAGAATGTATTCCAAAGATTAACCAGATTGTACATTTAAAGTCCAAATTTAAAAAAGTCCTTATTTTTTGATAACTTAAGTCAACTTTCTCTGCAATTCCACGCTAGCAATATTTTCTCTAAACAAGAATATTCATATTATCCATTGCAGTGAGGAAGGAGTGCACTCATTTTTCTCGTTATAATAAGTTCCATAAATTTGAAATAATTATTTATTTTTCGATTTAAAATATTTGTCAATCAACGGCACAATCATAAATAACTTTAAGAAGCTAGCGCGTAAATGCTCATGAGCAATAATAGAAATCAAGGTAATGTGATATGTAACACTGAAAACGGGTAGCCAACATTCCAATGCGGAAGTGACACGTTAAAGAAAAAAATGATTGAGAATTAGTTAAGGTCAATCGATGATGTCATACTGAAAATTATTGCGGAATATATTTTCCTTTTTTTAATTGATAATTTTTACAGTATTTAATTCAAAGTTTCATACGTGCATATACTATACGTTCTGGAGATAACTTTTTCAAAAGAATCACCCGTTAAGTATTGGAGAGGGAGAGAGGAGGGAGAGGGAAAGAGAGGGAGATGCGAGCGATGGAAAATAAGAGGGAATTACGGGAAGAGAGGGAAAATGGAGAGGTAAGGTAATGGGAAGTATAGGGGAGAGGTGCCAAGTGGAGAGAGAGAATAGAGAGAGTATGTGTATGTGTGTGTGTGTGTGAGAGAGAGAGAGAAAAAGAGAGTATCTCACTATTTTGCCTTGGAGAATATTCCTGCTTCCTTAGCGAACTACTCAGTATTAATAGAAGAATACAAGTCAACTTAAGAATATTGCGAATTTTTACGCATAAGAATTCTAATTTCTAAAGGTGTCAATGTTCTCTAACGGATTCATCATGTAATGCGGAACTGATATAGTATTAGTAATTGCCGACTGTGATTCACGATTAAGGTGACCGATTGCTGTAAGCCTGAGACACATGAGAAGTATTAGACATATACGTTTACATAATTGGAAATTCAGTATCAGTTGCTGTGAAGGCTATAAAGAAAGATGTAGCACAGCGTCTTGGCCAGAAACACAGGTGAAAATGGAAAGAAAAATATTAATGAAAAAGATCAAACTTTGCAAAGATGTAGATAGAATTTCTCTGGAGGAACAGCTCGGACTTGCAGAGTGGGACTCAAATGGAATTTTCATGTAGAAGATTCATTTTACTATAGGTCAGAAGCAAGCAGTTATCTCGTGAAAGATCGTCTTACTCTATTTCTCTTGTAACAGCGTGCCCAGCATACAATCTTCTTGCCTCCAGCTACGTCGACAAAAGGGTGAAAAAGAGTTGATATAGAGCTGTTTCATACTCCGGAATGAGAAATTATCGTCTACAATGTTCGAGGTGACGTCAAGGGTTGAGTCTTTGATGGCAGGGAGAACAGGCCGAATGGTCGCCGCTCCGTTAGGTGTTATTTACTGAAAAATCTTGTAAATGACTAGCAAAAATATACCAGAGTTTTACTTCTGTCTTTGGGGACTTAACGCACATATGAAAGGAATTGATTAAGGAGGACGTTTCTTAATCGCTGTTGAATTGAGGGAAAAGTTGACGTTTCAAAGTTTGTAGAGTATAAAACGAAAAACAGTTAAGCCCCCTTACTCCCATCATACTCAGCTCACTCAGCAACATCTGCACTCTCAATATTAAATATATGGCATTGACGCGCAAACTAAAACGAATACAGCGCTTTGTATAAAAGTAACACTCCTATCCCTACAATAATTGACAATACTAATCTGGTATATCTGCTGTGATTTCTGAAAGTAGCTGTTTCACCTAAATTCACTTAATGTATAGGGCTCTTTGTAAGAAGCTTGCTGGTCTTTACACAAGAGACAAAAGTCAAGTGAATCGAGTGTAAGCGCGATTGTACTATTGGGAATATAAAGAAGCAGGTACGATTTTTGCAAATTCTTTGCCAAACACCGCGACAGATTCTGACTGTATCTTGTGTCTCAGGCTTCGAACTTACTTGCCCTGACATGCGAGTAAATAGTCGCAACGTTATGTATCGGACCACCACAGTTGCATATCTATAATATTTTTGATAGGTTTTCCTTGGAATTTAAATATTAAATAGTGTGGTTCACAAAAGATTACATTCAAGAAATGCAATAAAGTAGTATGCACAAAAAAATTCTCCATGACACAAAATAGTTCTTTTTAGAGTGCCTTCTCGTAAAAAAATTGATTTTTTGCAATCCGATGATACTTTGATTTCAGAATTATTGTCCTCTACTACACTTTCATATTACATCATTTAATCCATTCATGCAATGTCTTACGCGTCTTAGGAACCATCGGACGCAGTTAATAGTAGAAAATATTTATTCAGACTCTCCTAAAGAGAAAGGACGTTATATTTTTGGTGAGATAAAATCATATCTGCGTAAAGGCCGTCATATTTCAAAGAAAATAATAAGACATATTCGATGTAAGAAATCTTGAAAAATGAAGATTTTTTGTGCATACTACAAAGTTTTCTTTGAAAAAAGTTATCTACGAAGACAAAATATTTAAGATCACACTGCACTAACATTACGAAAACACTACATTAGAAAAGTAGACATGGTTTTCTTTTTGTATGTCTCAAGCAATGTAAATTGGTATATCGTTGAGCAGGTGTATGTTAAATATTGTATATAATTCATTACGAACGCTTCTAGTCTTCACTAATATTTTTATTAATAATTAGTAGTGCACCTCTAGACTAGGCCAGATGTATGCAAACAGGACGTTACACTAGTTCTATTTCTACCTCCACTTCAACCTCGTTGCAGGAAGATTCCGAGTGTTCGAGCGCAGTTATCGACTGCTCCTCGCCGTCCTTAAAGCAAGCGGACTCGAGGTGCTTGTTGAGATAGGACTTGAGAGCGAAGGACTTGCGGCAGCGCGGGCAGGCGAAGTTCTTATCAGCCGAATGGGTCTGCATGTGCGCGCGGAGGTTGGAGCGGTCAGCAAACGCCTTACCGCAGTGTGCACACCCGAACGGCTTCTCGCCGGTATGCGAGCGCAGGTGGCCCTGCAGCAACCACGGCCGCGAGAACAGCTTCCCGCACACCCCGCACGCATGCGACAGCTTATGCGTGAGCAAGTGCATCGCCAGAGCCGGCATGCTCACGTACGCCTTGCCGCACGTGACGCACTTCTTGGCCGACTGCGAATCCAGGGAGCGGTGCGTCTGCTTGTGGCGCGACAGGTTGGACGACGTGGCGTACTGCTTGCCGCACTCGGAGCACACGAACCGGGGCCGTGCGTTGCCTTGCCTCGAGTCGGACGGAACCGCTCCCACCGTCTTTCTCTTCGAACGGCCGTCACTCACGAAGAATGCCTCGTAGGTATACGCCACAGTCTTACCCGAGGTTCCTGAAAGGGAGCAAAGGGCTGGAGTGGAAGAAGCATGCTTCTCTTCCTTTGCGGGGACGGGTGCAGCGTCGATATCGCTCACAGAATCGTCATGCGTGGCATGTTGCGGTTGCAGAGGCAAGGAAGGCGGCGAGGGTGGCACGGGGTGCGGCTCCACTGTTCGCGGATGACTCATCGAAATAGTAGACGCGCTTAAATCCAAAATAGCGCGAGCTGCATTTAAAATATCGTCAGCAGGTGTTCCAAGTTCATCGAATTGACAGATAGGTCGATCTTCCAAAGAATATGGCCTATAGATGTCTTTTTTCTTTGGTGGCAAGGATAACGCAGCACCAGTACTAGTGAAAAACATGGCAAGCGAACGTCGGCTGCGTCCTTGACACGGAGGGGAAGATGGCCGCACTGGCGATGTGAACGTTGATGAGGAGGTAGTGGAAATATGCAGAGTGGTGGAGACCGGAGGAACGGGTAAATGAGGTGCGCGACAGTGCTGCTCAACTTCGTCACCGAGCAAAACCTGAGGCCACAGTGAGCTACTCACGGAGAGGGACTGAGAGGCGTTAGAGGACGGTAACGGAGAAAAAGGCAGAGTAGAAGTGGAGGAGGGACTCCCGGGCGATCGCGTCGGGGGCTGCTGCACTGGCTGGACGTCATCGTCTTGGGGCGGCAAGCGCCACTTCTCCGGCGTCTGCAGCGTTATGTAAGACCGATCACCGCAGCCCAAGTGAAAAGGTGGCGATTGCTGCGCCGACGCGCCGTCAAACTCCGCGCCTCCTGCATCTTCTGACTTGGGCATGTATGCTGTGAAGTGTAGAGATGAAACATCTTGGATGTAACCTGAAAAGTTAAATTCAAACAAGAAGGTTAACATCGAATTCATTTCGAACCCTTGAAACTTATGTATCAAGGAACAAGAGAAAGTAATATTTGTAGAAGAAACGAAAAGAGAATAAATAATAAATAGTATTTATTATAAATCCTTAAACTCATAAGAAGTCCGTTCATCTTGTTAACACTCTATTTCTCATACATTTCATTTCATCATCATTATGAAATGAAATAAAAAATTTATAATAATATACACAAAATATAATACCCACAATGCAAACACGACAAGTATTTTAAAAATGTGGAATTCATCAAGTTTATTTTAACATTTCTGCATTTTATTTATACTTACTTGCTTACTGACAATAACAATGACTGTCTCTTCCACAAATAAAAATATTGATGCGAATCAATGAGTTCTACGATAGCTGCAAACAACCTTTATTCTTCTTTCAATACCTTTTATTATTTCAATACCTTTCTTTACCATACACTCCTTTTTCCCACCAAGAATTTCCAATATTTGTTTTTATAAATAAGAAATAGTAAATAATAACAGAACATAAGGCTTTTCGTAATGAGGAAAGTTAAAGAAGAGAAACAAGCTGCAGTAAGCAAAGGAAAAGAGACGATGGACTGAAAACTGCACAAATGTTGTCGAAGAGAGAAGACGCCATACCTTTGAAGAAACAAACGAAGTGAAAGAAGATGGAACAATTATATTCATCAGAATAATATGAATCATTTTTAGGACAGTAGTATGATACTACGTCAGATGTTTTGAATCTAAGTGACCTGCTGGGTGAAGAAGAATCCATGAAAAAAGCAAATACTTTTGACCATAACACTTTTTGATGATGACTTTGATATAGTGCGGTTTCCAAATAAATCGGTTGTTCACTTTGCAGGTCAAGTTAAAGGAAAAACTGATGATGGTGACCATCCCGTCGGGATTATGAACAGAAAACGGGGTAACCTTTTCCTGAATTAGAAGATAATAGTTGGGTTGAAGTGCCATATCCGGTGAAGTTGACATAGCCAAGAAACGGAGAAGAACCAGAAAGAAAATGAGCCCGTTATATACATTACATTAGATTTTGATCTCTTTAACATTCCTTACAAATAAATTGTGGGTAATTTGAATTTCTTTAAATAAACAAAATCATATGCTAATTCAATTCTATGGAAAATATGCTGTGGCAGTTATTTTTCTTCACTTTTCCCAAGCTTATCAAAGTGCCCCATGGTGTATCTAAGTGCCCAATGCAGTGCATAAAGCTACTCGAAAGAAGCACATTGATATAAATGACCTTCTTTTAGATTTTTTAATTACATTAATTATATTTAATTACATTTCAATTACATACATTTAACTGCATTTAAATGCTATAAAAACATCGATGTGCCTACTAAGAACACACAATACTAGTTTTGCTGATACTACATGGAAAAATTACATGAAATATCTTTTCTAGGCACCACAAATATTTTTAGAAAGAACTGTATCAATGTGCCCCAGTTTCATTTTTATACTTTCACCGAGCAATAAATAAATATATCCATTTACATCTTACAATGTGCCTCACAAGTACTTATGACCTTCATTTCATGTTAAATTCAAATTAAAATGAATCAAACAGATTCAATTAAGAATTAAACGATTGAAATAATTATATGAAAAAGAGTATATGATTCAGTTAATTAAACTGATGGTGCTCCACTCTACAGAGAATATATTTTATTAATTGTATCATAAAGAAACAAAACTATGTATTTTCTATGTACCTATGTGTCTTTTATTTTCTTAACATTGTTGCAACAATTCTCTTTTTAACTTATGTTCAGCGTGCTAAAAAATATAACGGTTCTCCACATTATCATCAGTTCACTCAAATAACTCCCTGAATAAATAAATAGGTTCCTGACAGGGTTACAGGCTAGCTTTTATGCACGAATAGTATTTTCTTCCATGCTCAATCCTTCCATCCATTTGTATTTTCATTTCAGAAGTAGATTAAACGTATTGTTTCAATTTTCAATAAACTGAATGCCATCTACACTTCTTTATGAAACGAGGGATCTCTACACGAAATACCTTCTCTTCAAGGATCATTTTCATTTTATGAAATTTCTGTCAGGGATTCTGATTCTGTTTTAGTTTCTTTTTGTAAAATCGGCATTTCTCTGACTGAAAAACAGGCGGACAGACAGACACGCCGACCAATAGACTACGACAAATTAATTTTACGTCATATTAAAGAGTGCAATTAGCACTATTCGAAAAGTTTGAAGAAAAAAGTTGGAGCCGTTTTTGAAAAAATGGCGTTTTAGCGTTTCTGAAAATGCTGAATTTTGAGCTAGTTTTGACAGAAAACGGTTGAGTTTTCGAGAAGCTCTGTCTGACATTATTTAAAGCACGTGTACTCATTAATATAATAATTTGAGCAAATTGCTGCTAATGTAAATATTATCAACGTGAGACACAAGTAAAAAATACATTTTTGTAACTTTTGAAAAAAACAAAACATCAGAGCAATAAGGCGTTTATTTCCTGTTACAGAGTGCATTTAGCACAATTCCTACCAAAAGTTTAAAGAAAATATTTGGAGCGCTTTTTGAGAAAATCATGTTTTCTCAAAACTCAGGAGCTTCATGTAAATCATTTTTATCAATCTCAGAAGCTTCATGTAAAGTACCCCCAAAAACTAATGAATGATTTTCAAAATCGCAGAACTTCGACTCAGGCCAAATAGATGGGTTTCTTTAATTTGGAAAAAAATCCTTCGCATGGTTTAGGAGCTAGTGTTGTCACATACACCAGACACGTACAGGAGGGACGGACGGACAGACAGACGTGCGGACGGACGTTTTGAAAAAAAACAACACTTTTTCGTATCAGGGGATCACAAAACGTGTATTTCTGTTAAAATCTCGAAATCGATTTTCCCCTGCATTACATAACTTTCCCTATACTACGTATATTACACCGTATATACGTACGTATACGAGAAAGTAAAAAGGATTAACAAGATAGGGCACATGGATTGATTCTATGAGCTACAATGCTGAAAATGGTGATTTTATACATACTAGTTATACATTAATTTGATTCTGATGTTGCAGCATCCATAGGGAGATCAAAGCAATTGCTTAATACTGAAAAGATGCCCCATAGCTCTACAACTAAATCGTTGGAGACGTCTTCCTTGAAACGTTCTGACAGCCTCGAAATTGCCCACTCAGCAGTTGCTGATTGAACTGTTCACTTATTATTCGAAGATCAGTAGGGGATCTAGTGAAGAAAAAGAGGTCTTGAGTTATAGAGAAAATCCCTGTCTCGAAACAATTAGTACTATGCAAAGAGGGGACAATTCTGTCACACTGGATATTGACCACACGCCAGGCGATCTGTGCAAGTTTAAATACGCACTAACGACTTGTGCGATGTACAACGCGCGTTTAGTCAGTACAATGCCCTCATGCAAAACAATAAGAAAACTTTCATTGCTCAATATTTGAATAAAGAATTTTTTTCTTATTGTTGAGGAAGAAAATAATGTTTAATACTGGTCTTCATATTATGAAAGAGAACAATATACCCTAAGATAAAAGTATTTTAATAAAAAAAGAATTAATTTAAGCGATACGTATTTCTTACTATTTAGTACATATTTTTTGTATATTATATATATATATATATATATATATATATATATATATATATATATTCCCACTATTAGTACATAAATATCCGGGCCCCAGTGATGAAATAGTATTGCATCACTCATGAATGCGTTGAGATATGCCTACCCAGCCATCCTCTAGCGCGGCGACGCCCTAGTTTCAGTTTATCATGCTTGAAAATAACCATTTGAACAAATAAATGGAATTCTTAAATGATAAACAAATCGGTGCTAACGGAATCAGTAGGGACGTATTTGCTGGCGCAAAGTGGCTGTAAATCCAATCTGTGTATCTACTTGGCGGGAGAACCCGTGAACGGGCTCAGGCCTACCGGCGACGTCTCTGCCTCGCGGCTATAGGTTAATGGGGTACGTGTGATTGGCACGTAGACATCTCCATGCCGTATTCCGGTCTTCTCAACCTGCGAAGAAAATTTTCTCATCGCCACACAGCACCATATATTGGGGCATTGCGAGGAAATCGCACACCCGATCGGTTCGTCTGGGAATCGAACCCGGGCCCGCGTAGTGGAAACGTAGTGGAAAGCGAGCACGCGTACCAAGAGCTAGCCACGAGAATTCGAGCTTAAGGTAACCAAAACTTGACATAAATAAGATAATTATTAGAATACCTTTTATACAATACAATATATTCATCATTTGTTATATAGTTGATTAACGCTTTCCATGTTAATTTGGAATGAAAATGCAGCCCTAGTCTCTTGGTGCTCCTAACAAATGTTAGTGGTTTACCGCCTAATGTCAAAGTTGAGCAGTTTATATCTTTATGTTTTGAGAAGGTACATTCCGTATCTTCTCCTGTGTGTCTCATGGAGAATCCGCAATCCGCTTACACGCTCACTCGAAAATATTAAACCTTTCTCAATATATGCGTCTACGGAAAAAAAGTGTTTAATTACAGAAAGGTTTATTATTATTATTATTATTATTATTATTATTATTATTATTATTATTATTATTATTATTAGTAGTAGTAGTAGTAGTAGTAGTAGTAGTAGTAGTAGTAGTAGTAGTAGTAGTAGTAGTAGTAGTAGTATTCTGTTTTGCGGCCATCACGGGGCCACGCGATACATGTATCCCATGGGGGTCAGTCATGATTATTGCGGTAGGTGACGGTACTTTCCTATTGGGGGGATCAGCATTTAATGCTGATTCCATTTTTGTACCCCAGGGTTGTCAGCCCTGGGGGATGGGATGAAATTCTGATGACGATGATAATGATGATGATGATGATGATGATGATGATGAATGATGAAATAGACACAAAGAAACATGCAGAGACACACACAACACAACCACGCCCGA